TTAATTAAAACCTGAGACTGGGGGAAAAGAGAAAAGGAGAGGGGGTGGGGGAAATGTCAAACACAAGAAACAGAAAACAGTTCAAACAGGTGCATGCTTGAAAGAGTCTTGGCATTTCCATTCAATGGTCATCTTCAGCAGTACAAAGGAACAGACCATTGATGTGGGAAATGGCATGGATACACTGCATAGCACCTGTGTAACAGGAACCATACCTACCAAAAAGAATACTCTGCTTTTCCATGCACATAAAATCCCATAAGTGCAAAGTCATTTACCATAGCGATTTCTTTTACAGTTATTATAAAGTGAAAATTGGAGATAAAAATTAAAGATAAAAACCTGAGATAACCACAGGTGACCATGACACATTGCTACTGTTCACTTCCTGTCTTGAAAAGGCCACTTAACTTCCTGGTCCTGCCTTTTCCTCTCCTGAGGGCCTTTCTTTCCCTTGACCCAAGTCAGCCAGGGAACTCCATGATCCATTCCAGCTGAATGTGAACCATGCCTCTTGAACCAACACTCTACTCCTTTGGACATCTGACCTCAACATAGACAAAATTCCTATAACAATTTATAGTACTAGAAAGCAGATGATCAGCTTCTTGCACTGGGAGATAGGCAGTAAAAGGAGGAGGAAGACAAGGATCACTATGAAGCATCAAGAAGTTGTTTGGAGCAATCGGTTCATCATCTTGTAGAGGACCCAGGCTCAGTTCCCAGCACTCATATTAAGTAGCTCACAACCACCTGTAACTGCAGCTCCTGGGGGATCTGGCTCCCTCTTCTGGCCTCTGTGGCCAACTGCATACATGTGGTGTACATACAGACATATGGGTACATACACATATGTAAAAATAAATTTATGAAAAAATATTAAAGGGTGGGATGGGGAAAAAGGGTGCTGATGTTTCTTGCTGGGCTGCAGGGGCCTATAGCTTCTTGGAATAAAGCACAATCTTGTCTCTGTGGTTTAAATGTCTTAATATGCTCAAAGAAAACCTTCTAGATAACAAAGTAATATGCCAGTTTAAATGAATTTTGTTACCTCATTTTGCAAAGACAATTCATTTAACTCTGCAAATATGAGCTTTGGTGTGACTTGAACTTTTCTAAAAGATGACTTGAGTCTGATTTTTCTTTTACATGTCACCTCAGCAATTCACAGTGACTCCCAGGGCATAGGTGAGAATACCAGATTTGGGCAAAGCATCTTGAAATACAAGGGAAAGGTGGTCTGTAGGTGATCTCCATGATATTAAGGCAAGAGAAATACAGAAGAGTAAAAGGTGTCCAAATTTGTTCAGGCATATGCAACTTTAAGTCCCTGGGACCGATGCAGCCACATTCTACCAAGGCTAGCTATAAATGCAAGACAGTAAACCTACTGAGAACATGACTGTGATAACTCGGTTGTGCACTTCTTGAGTATGAATGCTGTAGAAGATAGTGCCATTTTGCAATGTCTACACATTGACTAGGTGGTCCATTAAGGTACCACTTTCCCAGTCAATCTGTGAATACCCTGTCACTAGTTGGAAGTATTCTCAGTTGAATTCTGGTCTTCAAAGAGTATCTTCTGCCCCTAGAGTTGTAAAGTCAACATAAAACAAACAGGAAATTAATCTGAAATCTCCTACTGTGCTTATAAATCCAGCTTTTATGATTTTTTTGGTGTGGGCATAGCAAAATTTTATTAGCTGTGAATCTTATCATGGGCTTATAACAGCCATGACATCAGTTTGAAAGAAGGTCTCACTCTACTCAAACTGGCTTTTGGGGACATTAGTGGATGCATGACTTTTCTCATTGTTACTGAATGCCTCAGCAAAACAACTGGAGGACTCCTGGCTCTGTGGTACAGACCATCATGGTGGGAAATCTCGGAGGCAGGAGCTTGAAGCAGCAGTTCCCATTGTGTCGTCATTCAGGAAGCAGAGAGATGAATGTTGGTGCTAAAGCCCATTTTCTCCTTTCCATTTGGATCCCAGCCTGAGGAGGTTGCTTCCCTCACTTTGGTTATATAAGTAGTTTGAGATGGACAGGCTGAACTATAGGAGACACTATTTCAAAAAGAAAAAAGCAAAAAAGAAAGAAAAAAGAATACAGAATTTTGGATTACCCAAGATGGTCTAACAAGGTGAGAGCCACGAACAATCCCTGGAGCAATCCACTAGAGGGCAGTAAGTACAAACCAAATTTAACTTTGCCCCTGGAAAAGACTAATGGTATGGCAAAAAAATATATATATATATTACAAATATGGTTTGCTAAATGTAATTCAAATTTATTCAGTGATGAGAAATAAATGTGTGCAAAATGTCTCTCTTTTTGGAATTAGTGATGTGGGAGTCCACGAGGCTAAAAGACAAAAGAATTAATTCTGGTTTTAGCTCTTATAGTAATGTGATTTGAAACAATGTAATATTTGCCATTCTGATACACTCTTAAGATATGACATTGCTGCACAAAACAATACTGGAATTCCATAGTTCAGTTATTTACTTTTTTATTATATTTCAGTCTTTTAGAAATCCTTCCAAACTACAGTCTTGGGCTTTAGGTCAACCATAACTTTAATTGATGGAGATTCTGGTTTAGAAGTACCCAACAGGATTTCTTGGAGAGTTTAGGACATTCAAATATATTAACTCACCTTTTGGGAGGAAATTACCTAATAAAGTGACATGCTTACATAAAGCAAGGACAGAGACAGTATCACTATCTAGAATAAGGACTAGTTATACCTCAACCACTAGTGCAAAGAAAACAGAAACCCCACAACAACATGTCACAGACTAAGTTGTTTTCACTTTTTACTTTCATCTTAGGAGACCTCTAAAGTCACGAAAAGTTTATACATTAAAAACAACAGGAGCCAGCCTGTTAATCCCAAACTTTAATCCTTTAAACCCGACGCTGTAGAGGCAGAGGCAAGCAGATCTCTGTGAGTTTGAGGCCAGTCTGATCTACAGAGTGAGTTCTTGAACAGCCAGGATTACACAGAGAAACCCTGTCTTGGAAAACCAAAAACCAAGCAAGCAAACAAATAAAAATGAAAACAAAACAAACAGAAACCAAAACCACCACCACCATCACCACCAAAAACAATTGGCTTGAAGGTCCAGAATTCTGTAAATAGGGAAAAGGGCATAAGTCAGACAAGAGCTACTCATGAGGCCCACAGCAGTAAGTTTTTGGAAGCAGGTGGTTTAGACTATGTCAATAACTTTCCAATGGTCGCTGCTGTGAATCCTCACCACAGTAACCTGTATTCAGTTTGAGATGTATCAGAAACAAAAACTCTTTTCTAAATAGCATTTTTTTTTCACCAGCACCCATAGTTAAAACTACCAAGTCAAGTAGCAACAGAAACCATTTCAGTTTGATAATGTTGCCACACTTACACTGTATTGTATACTTTGATGTCTTCTACCCCTGCTTTGGATATGTTTTCCACTTACATGAATGCTTGGTAGTGAGTGTGAGGGATGCAGGAAACTCATCCTCAAGACACAGGAAAGCTTATCAGAAGCTGAGGTGGAACACTGTTTTGGGTGCTCTCGAGACTGCTGGCCCTGGCAGCTTAGCTTGACCTGAGTTAGTGAAATTGAGGTTCTGGACCCTGTGAGCCTGAGGTGGGTCAGCGTTCTCCTCAGTCTCAGACAGATGTCATACATCACTTCTTTTTCTGATGAAGTGACGAATATGATTTCAAACTCGTAGCCATTTTCAGACAAGTTGCAAGATCTCATCACTTTTGGATGAGCATTTCATTTTGTTCAGGCAGGGTCTCATGTAACTTAAGCTGACTTTTAACTCCTTATGAAGCTGAGGATGGCCTTGAACTTCTTATCCACCTCCCAGTATTGAAATTACAGGTGTGAATTAATAGGACTTAAGGTTGTGCAATTCTGGGGATAGAAGCCAGGGGTTTCTTGTACATGTCAGGCAAGCACTGGACCAACTGAGCTAGACCCCCATTCCAGGCAAGCATTTTAATGATGTCCTGCATTCAGACCCTGCCTTCTCTTTATTCTGTGCCTCATCTGCATGATGGGGAGAGTTGTTCCTCCTATTCAAGGCTACTCTCCGAATGAAACAAGTTAAAATTTGTAAAGCTATTATAACTGCTACTTAAATATTAAAAATGATTTCCACATCTTTATTGGATTCCCAGCACACAGATCTTAGGAAATGAGTGGAGTCCCTACTTGAAGACATTTCTTGCTGACTTTTTATTAAAAATGATTGAATTACGTTATTTATGTGTGTTGGGATGACGTCACGCCGGAGGAAGGCTTATGGGGATTTTCCCTCTCCATCATGTAGCTGTCACAATCCTCACTAGACTCGAATTCAGGCGACGAGGCATAGCTCAAAGCACCTTTTACCTACTCAGCAATCTTTCCAGACTTTGGCCTTTCTTACCAACATCTTAATGCTATATAAGTAACTAACACTGTGAGTCTCAAAAGATAACCATGGAATGAACGAACTTTTTATATGAGGCTGGTCTAATACTGCATGACATTAACTATCTTCCAGTTCGAGTGTATGATACACATGAAATATAATTGCTGTCTATAGTGGGAAACAATGCCCAATACTACCCCATCACTCAATGGGAATTTCAAGGTGTTTGCCCATTCAAAAAGAAGTTACAACGGTTACTGTGATAATCCAGGATCATCTCTGACAGATTGGTTTGAAGCAAAGACCTGATTAGAAAAATGAAGACGTGTTTATTTTGTGCAAACGGCTGCCAGTGCCCAAGAGCCAACAGGCTGTGAGTAGTGTGCCAGGATAAGGCTACTCTCAGGATCCAAGAGTTGGGAGTGTCTCAAAGACAAGTGACCTTGAAGGTTCAAAAGCCAAGAGTCTGTGAGTGTTCCTGGACTAAGAGTCAAGACTGTCTGCAAATGTCCCAGGGCCAAGAGTGTGTGTATCACGAGGCCAAACGACCTTCAGTGTCCATGACCTCACGGAATCTGGGCTCAGAGGAGCAGCAGCGAGCCCAGTAGCAGCTCGCCCTGGCCCAGCGGCCGTCCACGCTCCAGCCCGCGGCCCTTGCTCTCCGCCTTGATGCGCACTGACAGGCGGCGCAGCTGCTCCTCCGAGAGTCCGTCGAAGCAGCAGTCCTGGTCCAGGGCGGCCTTGCGGCTGCGGCGGAGAACACTGGCACGCTGCTGGCCCGATTGCTGCAGCACCAGGCTGAGGCGACAGCCCAGGGCGCGGGGTTCGAGTGCGGCGGCCAAGCCCTCTGCGCGCAGCAGGCGGAGGCGGAGACAGGGG